CGGCCTACCGCCCAATTCGAGCGCGTGGCAAGATGTGACCGCCCGGCGATCGATATTGCTATGCGCACATCTCGCCACGCGCTCAAATTGGGCGGTAGGCCGGCCTAAGACAACGATTTTTAATAATTAATTACTCGTTAACTATTACGAAAATTGCAAAATGGTACAGGACTTTTCCATTCATCTCGATCCGTTCTACCTTCTCAAAAATTTTGTCGGATATGGAAAGACTCACCCTGTATACATTATCATGTAAATCTGCAACGGTAAAGATAATTAACTTTGTACGGGAAATAATGAACCCTTTTTTTCTTTAACTGCATAGCAGCGAGTTAAAACACTACGCTTTCGATGATCACTGGTTTTTACATTCAATTTCCTTCTCGCTGAAGCAAAACCTTGGATTTTTTCGTTGAGCGTTACTTTTATTGTCGCCCGAAGGCTCTGCTTTGCATATAATTGTAAGAAAACGTGCCGCGTGAATTCAGAACAGACATAGCTGCAAACGTAATCGAGTGTCGGCGAGCCGCTGCATTCCATTGCGTCGCACCATAACGTAGAAAGTTTTTTTATGGGAAGTTTAAGTGCAACGATATCTCTGCTCCTTTACCTTCACGTCGGCGGAAACTGTTAGAAATTTTCTGTGATTTAGAAATGTAAGATTAGTGAAAGCGTTGGATATAAGTAATTTTTTTCATTATATTTATATGTTATATTATTTTTTTCTTCTTCACGATTCTATTGTCAAACGAAATATTATAAGTACGTAAAATTTTATGCTGGAACAATAATTGAAATTGATATATGTATATCAAATTCTCATATTCACTAATTGCACATCTAATATTTTAAAGAAATGATTATTTTTGTTGATCATTGATTGTGTGTTAACACATCTGTCTATTTTTATCTTTACTTTTTAACAAAGTCCTTCTTTATAAATAAAAAAGTATTCAGATTTAACTATATAATTTATAATCAAAATTGTTTTTCTTTCATAGCTAAATGTAAAATATAAAATATTGTTAAAAAATTTAAACATTACATAAAATAAGCATGAAGTAGTCTCTAAATTGATTCTTATTCTGCCACTATTTTTATTTGTTAAATAAACTTGAAGACATACTTTTTCTATAATTTTCCGAGAGGTAGATTCAAGCGGTACCCTTTAGAAACACATTAATCAACATGAAGTGTCACCCGCGCTAATGGCTTGGGGAAATCATGCGCCTAAGTCGGAATCAGAGTTTCATCTGCACTTAAAGGTCTCGTGAGACCAAAGAAACCATAATGCCGAGACCGCCTTAACACAATTTCTGTCGGAGATCCCAGAAGAAATATCGTTGTTTATTTTTTGCGAACGCGAGATGGTCCGAGATAGCTCGAGAAGGTAAAATGACTTCTGTAAGATCGAAAGCCTTTGCGCCATCCAGTATAATACTTCGGAGAATTATTACAAAAGGATGCTTAGTCTCTTGTACATTTTCTCTTACTTTATTTTTCATACCTGTGGTACTGTTCTGTTTTTTTTGTCATCGCGAGACAGTAATTACACTGATAATTGAATAGAAAAGAGAGAGATGCGAATCATATTTTCTCATCCAGGAGAAATAGAAAATCTGTGATATTTTCTGGGGATTTATTGTATTTACCGCTAAATATAATGAATTCTTGCAAGATGACTAATTTTTTAATCTGACTTAAATAACTTGTGCAACAAGACGGAATTTTCTTTACTCTTTATTATTAGATCCTTATATTTGCGGCTATATTATTCTGAGTTATTGACGGGTTAAAAATTATTTTGTTCAGTATATTTATTGACAATCGAAGTTAAAATGTAAATAAAATGAATAAGTAACTAAAAATATTTATTTAACGCAAAATTAGTTCTCTACTTTTTATAAGTGCCGTAATAAATCCGTAAAGATAATCGATATTATATCTCCAAATAATATATTTAAAAATTGGAAAAAGAAAAACATAAATTATATTATCGTTTATTTTATAAGTTATTGAAGATTCAAAGATTACTCATATAATCATACATAATTTCTTCAGCGCAATCAAAACATCAGCGCTAATTAAAGATTACTCCACGTGCAGCAACAATGAAATTAATTATATGTTTTCAGTCTTCACTTGTGCATAGATAATGATAGATAAACTATATTTCTATGACGTATATTTATATGTATATGCAGCAGGTGCAAAAATATGACCATTAACTTAATAACATTTCAATGTATTATTATATTATAATACACCATTTTGCATGTCTGCCGAGTCCGGCCTTCCGCTCCTCCGTGCACTTATTGGCTCAGACGTTTTTCTTAATTACGCGATAATAATTACGGATTTTGTAAAATGGTATATAACTTTTCTTCTCAGTTTGACCCAATCTACTATAATCTTTGGAGTGGTCCAAATCGAATCCGACACCCTGTATATTTTTATTAAAATAATTTTTAATAAAAAATTTAAAAAAGATTATACTTGGCGCGACTCTGTGTCTCGTGATAACGTTGTAATTATAATATGTCTCCTTAAACATGTTTACCTACTAATTCTATGTATTGCTGATTGATGTTAGCACTTTGTTAACGAGATATTACGAGTGGCGATATTTTTTAGGTGCCTTTACCCTATGTAATATAAATATGTGTGTGTGGACGTATAAGTAGCATGTCTTTACTCAAGCTGTGCAGAATTTATTGCCGTATTAATTTACATTTATTAACAATTCTGAATACATTTAGGTCACTCATTCATTTCATTTATCATTCATTTTCACTGTGGCTTTTAAAAGTATTCTTAATGCTTGTGCGTACGTCTTATAAAAAAAGTATTTTGGTAATTTTTTAGAGATAGAAATCATCTCGCGATTTCAATAATTTCAAGGTATGTTATCCTCATCCTGAGTAATACCGTGAAAGTTTCAGCCAGCGCTTCTTCTTTATTAACTGTAGCTAAATGTGTAATTTATCCAGATTATTCGGAATTATTTATTTAGATACGCGTGGGAATGACCGAATTTTTTCAGAGTAGAGTCATCCTTCAGATGAACATACTGTTCAAATAAACTGTGCCGATCAAAGCTACTCTCACGCAGGCAATCTTTCCCAATTTTCTGGACATTTATGGAGTGACGGATGCTCCGCACACGTGACCGAGCACGTGGATGAGTTGAAGAAACCTTATGGACCCTCCATTTCGTCTCAGATGTCTGATCATCCCTGTTTAATGCACAAGCACATCCCTCGAGATATCGACGCGTGACTTACGACGCGTCGGGCCGGATTAGAAGAGAGTTCCCTTTCGAAATTGCTTGCAATCGGTATTCTATGAGTCATCAACCACATTCCACGTGAAAGATACACTAAACGTAATTTACGCATTTGTGGAAGTGCAAAGAATTCGCGTGAAAGAAATGACATTTGTCACGAACCATTCTTATGACAAAAACATTTAAGTGTAACAGATGAACGTTTTATAACTTCAAAAACTATTTTGATCGGTTGAGTTACGAAATAAATGTGCTGATGCTAAATGTCAAACAAGAATCGTCAATCTTATAATAATCATGAAGAAATATTGTTAGGAATTTTATATTCATTAATTATAGAGAAAAGTCCCCTATTATGAGATAAGCTTCTAATATGTGACAGCGGGGTTTCTATCAAAGTAATAGGCACCGTTTGTTGATTCCACCATGAATTTATTGCTTGGGGAGAAATCTGTTTAGTGGAAAATTATTAGATTGTATAATCGTTGCGAAAAAAAATTTGTGATTGAATTTGAGTGTGTAAAACCTCTATCTCATGATAGAGGACTTTCCTCTACAAATAGATTGATAACAGAAATGCTGATAAAAATAATATAATATGTTCATAGTTCGATTAACAATCATTCCACCTATTGTGAGTGTGAGACATAAGGTCTGTTCTTTATAACTGGCTGCACTGGTTTAGAGTTTATCTTTTTTCTGCTGATGTGGAGGGAGAAAGATAAACTCTGAACTAGTGCAGTCGGTTCAGCTATGTATAAAGAACAGACCTACAATTGTTATTTACAATTCCACATAAAATTATCACGTAACTGCGCATTACGCCGCTAATTTGCCACTTGTAATTGCGGTCTCGTTACGTGTCGTCATACCGTCCGTGCTTACCTTAGCAGATCCGCCGGAAGTGGAGGAAGAAGGGAGAGTGACCTACGGAGGACGTCCTACGAGTTGCGCGCGCATCCCTTAAGAATACTGTCACACGGAACACGCACGATGCAGACCGACGAAGAGATTCAGTACGCGCCGAGAAGCCGGCCGGTGAGCTTTTACGACAATTACAAGGTGAGTCTTCAATCACGTGTTTCTGTTTGCGCGCGTGCTGTTGCAAGAAGCTTCGCGTGCGCCAGTGTAACGTAACTAGCATTAATCATCGGTCCGATGACTCTCGTATCTTTCGGAGCAGCGGAAATTATACACAGGGATCCTTACATAAATGTGAAATAAGAACATTGCGAAATTTTCGGGGCGTCAACGGGCTCTACAATTATAAACGCGAGTGAGAGCATGCGATGGATTTTATTTTAATAACAGAATGTTGATTTAATCCTTTAAAGTTCCTGATGGTTAAGTAGTAGAAATGCAAAGATAGTAAGGGAGTATAATTCTAAATTAACTTTTGAAAGAATTGAATCTGAAATTAGATAGCTATAGGGTAAATCCGGTAGAGATGGCCATACGGGAGAGTTGGCCCACGACCGTAGTTCCACCTTTTACTTATGCACGTACGCTAGTACGACTCCCTGTGTTGACAAGGTCGAACGTTTCCTGGTTTTGTCGCGATAAATAACGAAAAAAGTGAGTAATTAAGTCTTTTGTTTTGTGTGATATTACAGTCGTGGGCCAACTCTCCCGTATGGCCATCTCTACCGGATTTACCCTAAGTCAAAAGAACGGCGGTTCAGCATAAAATATAAATAACATAAAATATCTTCTGTATATTGTTGGTAGCATCGCATATCGGAGTAAAGTCACACGAAAGATGATAATCCTAGAACCGTTTACCGTTAACTACTTGACGCATCCAACAGCTAACATAAGACTAATGACAATGTCTAAATATTATAAATATTCTAGCTAGACAGTATCTAGCAGGAAAATAAATCGGAGTTTTATAACCGTGACGTTTCATACCAGTATATAATTAGATTCTTGGCTTTAATCAATTATCTAGATATGCTCGCCATACATAAATTACCATGGCATTTACATTCTATTACATTGATGCTAAACATTTCTTCCGTACAATGTATCTTACACTTCCCGAGAAGAAGGAAATAATTATTCTCCCCTGTATCTAATTATCAAAGTTTTCAATAAGAAAGTTTTCGACTTATTTTCTTTGTATTTAACATTTAACTGTGATACAAACTCGAAACGAACGGTATCCCCATAGTTATTGCGACTAACTATACTGAAACAATTAGAATAGTAATTCTAACTCAAAACCGAAAAAAAGAAGTAAGTCGTTAATTATTTCAATTAACGACTCACCACACTTACAGTAATTTTAATACTGATTGTGAATATCGCATTCCACCGTTGTTCTCGGCTTTTCGAGACACCTCGTACAACTCGGTATTTTCTTAGAGTAGGGTCGTTTGTCGAAATTAACACGATTGTTTCTTCAACCCCGCAGGACGTGTCGGTGATGCCGCCTTGCGTCACGTCCACCATGAGCGTGGGCAATTTGAACCAGGTCCGTGATGGCAATGACACGTCCACTGTATCTCAGAGCAACAACAATAATAACAGTAGCAACAATAACAACAACAGGGTCAGTAACGCCGTTAGCGCGGGGAACGTATCGAAGATTCACACTGCCAAAGTCACGGGTGAGTTGGTGCACTTTTTACGACGCGCGATCGATACGTTGTTTCTGCATTCGTAAGTGCCAAGTTGTGATTCGCCTTAAAAACTCTTCACCTACATTTTACGGAAGCATTTTTCATAATAGAAATAATAATGTAAATTAATTGCTCCTAAATGATATAGACTTAATTAATCTCCAAGTAATAGAGTTGAAGAAATCATAAGATCAAAATCAGTAATGACTGATTGGGATTAAATTATCTACATTATTTACCTAAATAGATCGTGTGTTAATATCTCGCGCCTGCTTGACCTGTTTGTTCTACTTTGGTTGTTACCAGTGCGCGAAATCTTATCGTCCTGAATTCTCGTATGTGCCACAATACTTGTTTTTCACGACAGCTATGTTCGTGCGTGCCAAGATTGTGCGTACGAACAAAGTTGCGTATTTTGATGCAGATAGTGAATGTGCAATAATTGCATTAACTTTTACACGTTTCTTTTAATGACGAAGAATTAAAAAGTATTATATGTCTTGTATAACAATATAAAATATGACATATTATATATTATATAACATTTATAAAAAGACATAAATCACACTGCGAAAAATTTGCATTGCGTTTTCGATTAATTTTTCGGTTAATTTTTCCGATTACGTTTTCCGATGAAATTATGGATGTATCCGATGAAATGCAGTTACCGATAAAATTTAATTAAAAACCAATAACATTTTTCATCGAGTATACAATTTAATCGGATATATCCGTTTGTTATTGTGTAATTGGATTATCCGATTATATTTAATCGGACATTTTTCTCAGTGCACTTATATGAAGATTTTGCAACTATCGTCGATACATGCTGTATTTTCCTCAAACGTTTTACTATAATATTGCAGTTTCCCGAAGAATAAAGAAACATAGTGTACGCGCACGTAAATAATAATTAAATTATCGCGGATCTGAAATGTGAAAGCAAAGTCGAGTCTTAGGATATCATACGTAATTGCCACTTGTAAGAAACTGATTTAGTCGCTTGCAAAATATTGTTATGTCCGCGCTGACACGATCCTTTGGATTAAGCAGAATCGAGCTGCAATGAAGTCGCGAAATGCTTCCAACGAGTCGCGATTGTCAAATAGTTACCAAGAAAATTCCAAGTCAAGCCTCGTTCGGACATATTGTCTTTCCGTGTAACAGGATCGTGGAAATCTAAATACATAACAAATTTTTCCTTCCTACACTGAGAAAAATTCCCATCGGATAAACCAATTAAATAGCGTTTCCGATGGTTAATTTTTCCGATTAAATTATGGATATATCCGACGAAATTTGTCCGATGAAATTTGATTGAAAAACCGATTATATTTTTCATTGAATACATCCGTTTGTTTTTATGAAATTGGATTATCCGATTATATTTAATTGGACATTTTTCTCAGTGTTTATTAACGAGTACGTGAGTGTCCCTCGGGCGTAACAATATCCACTTGTATTTGAGATATAATATATTTCTCAGAAATAGTTAGTGAACGCTGGCGCGAAATATAGGAAAGGTACTCGCACCTGGGCACTTTACTTACTGTTTCACTGTCGGCAGGTGCAGTGTCGACCGGGAACATCGGGCGTATTTGCCGCGGCGACAAAGAGAAAGAGCTCGATCGGGCACCATCAATGGCCAACTGTCTGTCAACCACGGTTCCTGTCAATCTGGCAGCTTCTCAAATAGCCGGTCGACATACGCCCACGAGAAATTCTCTGAGGCATAGCAGAATGATCGTAATGCATCGGACCGGCCATCGTGAGTACACAACAACTTCTTACTTACCTGAGCTTCGTATTTTTCTAATCGTGACGTACGTGATCGACACGCAACAAGATGAATATATATATATGTATACTTTTTATTTTCTAAACTCACATGTCTACTTGTTATCTTGCACAGTTGATTTCTTCAAACATCTTCAAAAAGTATTACGAGAGTTGCGAGTAATTTATGTTATAAATAATTTATACGTCATGCACGCCTCACATTGCGTAATAAGCGATGCTTAGCCAAGCGATTGTGCGGCTCTTAATTAGTAGAACGTATTATATTACGAACGCGGATTACGACGGCGAACAAGAATTTAAGAATCTAGGCGAGTGTTTCGGAACATTCGTATCCAAGAACGCGTGCAATCGGCGAAGTGCCGCAAGGTGAGGAGAGGCTCTGCAGTGGCATCCTCGGCGCTCTCTTCGGTCGGCCCGAAATTGTGCGTGTACGATTATCAGCTTTTTGCGATCGGCAGCGATCGATTTCTCCCGAGGGTGAGATCGCGCGCCCGCGAATCGCGCGGCCGTAAATTGCTCCTCGGCCGCGGAATGCGACCAGCCCGGTACCATTCGATTTTCTCGATTTCTTTCGATAACCGTCTCGTTGCTTGCGCGCGACAACACACATTGTAGCACTGCTATATAATTCTGCTCTAACAAATGCGCGACTGTCGCTCTTAATACCTCATCGCCGCCGGTCGGCCGGCAGGATTGAGGTTGATGCCAAGGCAGACAGGAAGATTATAATTAGCGACGCCGCGGACTGCAGGAAAGTGCAGCGGCTTTTTATCACTGCGATAATTAGATAGAGTAAAATGCGTGGAGCAAATGGTAGTTAATGGAAGGAGTTTAGAGGTGATGAAAATGTAACGCGCGAGAGGATGGGAGCTTTTACAGGAGGGTGGATATTTTATGGTAAAGTTGAGATAACATTGACACCTGTGTAACCTGGATGAAAAATATGTTTGAAAAATATTTGAAGACGGTAAAAGCGTAATATATTAATAGCGTTATAGAATTAAAAAGATTTTAATAGCTCCACTAAAATTTTACTTAAAAACGACTTAAAATTCCATTCTCTTAAACCAATTTACTGTCGTGTTCAATTGCTGTATTAAAAAAAGTATTACAATTTATTTGATTTTCTATCAAAATTATATATAAACTTCCATAGTTTTATTTAAAATCTTAGCATGCAAACATCAATTTATGTATAGTACACAATATATATATTATATATAAATGTGTGCACTTGTTCTATTAAATATATTCTATTAATAAAATTATTGTAGCACATTATGCAGGTTTTGTTCGAATGGAAAATAAAAAGGGAAATGAAATTTTCTTAAAGAGACACGGAACATTGGATTTTATTGTATATTCTGTTAACTATTTACTCGTATATTGTCTCATTTAGAAAAAGAGTTCGCTCTTTTTTCCTTCACTTATCTTGGCATATATGTATAGTATATTTCACTGAGTTTCTCGCTCTGCTGGCCGCAGAACGTACTTTAAAGTGGATGCACATGGTTCTCCGCAGATAGCGGAAGTACCGGGCCGGAAATATATCGCGTGATCTTTTTGGTTCGCGTTCGAAATACGCAGTCTCATCTCGGCGCGCGAATGTAAGGAATTCATTGTATTTTTTAACCGTCTCGCTTTGTACACACCGCAATTAATTACCGTATCGTAGTTCCATTACACTTGCAAAATTGCAACATTTTACAACTTCTTGAGTTTAATGGAAAATTATTCCTGCGAATTATAACTTTCTTATTAATAGCGCGCTGGGTGAAATTATAGGAATCTTTGTTATCTAAGGAAACTCAAATAGATATAAACTTTTAATTTTTATGCTAAGATTATATTGCACAATCTCACAATAATATTCAAGTAGTAATTAAAGCAAAGAAATAGCGCGTCACGTGAACAATAAGCATCGTTTCCGTACCTTTGCGAGACCATGCAAGCGACACGTGCGAACGACGAAGGGTCGAAATTGATGAAGTGCGTACGTACCGTGATTCCGCTCTACTCTATTCAAGGGCTCGTATACTTGGCATGTACGTCGCCCTAATTCTATTTCGGGACCGGCGGGCAGACTTACAAACCGACCCGCTATTCTTACGCCCAATTCGGGCACCCTTACACGCATAATCCGCGTTTGGGTTTCGTCTAAAGATGACGAGTAGTCAAACGGTCGTGCTATTTTCCTCGTTACACTGAAAACAAGCTCCAAACAATACTACAGTAGTTCCGGCAGACAATGCAACACAAACGTATATTAATTATATTAATCAATTAAAAAATGTGTGACATAAAAATTATTTGTATATAAAATTCTTACATTAACAGATTTCTCGCTGGTGGTGTAACAAAAAGTTGAAAATAGTTGCCAAACACGTGGATTTAGAAATTGAATACGTCTCACGAGCAGCCAGTCAGTTGTTAAAATTACAGTGCAATTACTCAATTAACCTGCGGTCGTTCCTTTTTAGAGTTCCGTTTAAAGTTACGTCGTTAGCATTATCCATGCATCGGGGACAACAGTTGATGAAAACGTACCACCCAGTACGCGTATATTATGCGCGTACGTGGGCCGTACATTTTGCGGCGAATTTGCCGGCCGTGACGACGCAACGTATAAATGAGAGCCAACTCATTGTTATCTCGTGTATATAAAGTATGCATACACGTGCACATTCACATAAACCGGCCCATTTACGTAGGTAGTCGACGTGTCCGATGACCTGATGCGAACGAAGACAAATTGCAGGTAGTTGGGTATTTACGCGGTGAATGCCTCGCACTATGCGAGTCGACGTTGAACAGCATTAGCTGTGAATTCTCCTTTCAACTTTGGTAATGTGAAATTATCAGCGGGAAATTGCCGTTTGACTTTACTTTGACAAAACCTTGCAACTGGACGATTTTAATTTTAGACCTTGACAATTTTAATAACGAACGTTGCACGTTTCTAACTTAAGAAAATTCAGCAAAATTATTTTCACCTTTTGTCTATTGTTACCGATGGGTCGCCAAGCATATGAATCTCGTGCGAGTCGCCGAGTATTTTCGCATCAGCGATATGTCAACGACAAATTGATATTGAATTAAAGGTGATGAATGCTTGCGTGATTGATTTCGTCGGTCGTTGTCGCCATTTGACCCCGCGGTACTGCCCTTTCTTCCTTTATGCTCGCACCGGTATATCCTCGCATTGTGCAATAAATACGGCGTACATACGGCGAGGCAATACAATGCTAACAACACGTATTCATGTCCTGCATTCCCACACCATGCGAATCGCTCCTCAAAGGAGCAGCAATATCCGCTACTTAACGGCTGCGGTGATCGTCCGTTACGTCGAAAACGGTCCAACGCGGTTCCTTTTATGGGAGGAAAAGTCTGAAATTTTATGTATTTACCTCAAGATAATTATGCGCGAAAACCGAGATTACATTCAACTCTTATTTTTATCGACTTACAGCCATCTTTATGGTGCGCGGACGTTTACATTCCTCAGTTGCAGCTTGCCTCGTTGGCCAGTTACAGCGCGTACCTGCAGTACAGTTAGGGACATAATCCTCACGTGGCAGGTGCGCGCATTGCATTTCCGCGAGTGAAAATTGTTTTTTTTTCTACTTCCGACGTAGAGGGTACGTACATGCATATCGTATCCTCCGCGAATTGGCAACCAGCGACGAACGTGAAATTGAAATTCTACACGGGTGTCGTACAAAAGAATTTCACTTTTACATACGTGTGACATAAAATACATTCGCGATCTGCTTTCGTGGACATTGGAATAGATTAGCAATTAATGAAGACGAGAATTTGATGAATCTTGAGTTACAATAACAGAAATTGTGTTTCAATTTAAACAATGACGAATATTATTTTCTGTAATTTCTCTAGATTTAGATTTCTTTTATCTTCGCATATATTGTTATAATTCTTTAGGAGTATGGGATGATATAACAGCAAATGTTGAAAAAGTTATGTTAAATCTTCGGAATACTATTACAGTATATCGCGAATTATTGCAATATTACAAAAGAAAAAGGTATTTTCTAATATTGTTGTTGTAGAGCATAAATCAGTTAAGAGGACAGTTAATCAATGTTGCTAGAGATACTAAATACAAATAACTTTTACCTCCTGAGAATCCTTATATTTCCCTAAATTCATTTTCTTAAACATAGAAGAATATATAATATAATTATAAAATAACACATATAAATTTTATTTTCTAAAAGTTCCCGTCTTGAAATCCACTTTTTCAAGTGCGGAAGAATAAAATTTACATATCTATTAGACACATCGTCCATTGGTCCCCTTTGCCATCATCTTCCTCGTTTTAAAGTGTGCCGTGACATCAACACAATTGAAAAATACTGACCTGGTCTCAGGCTGCGTTCCGATATTCACTGCCAGTACTGAAAATCTATAGTTTACGTCACGTACCTACACTATACATTTTCAGTACTGAGAGTACTTAAAGAGTGATTATCTCGGGTATCTATGCTTATGCATACGTGATAGTGGAGTTTCAAAGAAATTTAGATAATATTATTTCTATTATCTATTCGATTAATTTTCATTTGTATTTAATTATAAATTATTTAAAAAATAACGGTGGATATATTAATCAATTTATGTTTACCCGACGTACAAGTACTGTACTTCTTCAATCGAGTATTCATTCAGCGTTGCATATTTAGCAAATATGATGCACATATCCCTTCACTCTTGCGGTTTTTCAATGCCGGTCAAAGTACTGCTTCTTCCTCATACATGTCATTTAACAGTCTATTCTCCGATGTCACTGTGCTAATCATGTTTAAACCATTTTTCCTGCTTGATCTCTGTAAATATTGGTAGATTCGTCATTTATGAGAAAATCCGCTTTTATTGCAACAGAGGATTTATAGTGTTCAATCAAACTCACTTATAATTTCTTCAATTTCTACGATGTCCGTTTTAACTTTAAATTATCTGCTTCTAAATTCTCTTGGTTACACATTACTTTATGATAAGAATATCTCGAGTAATTTTATCTGAGTTATGTAGCGATGAAGAAATTGAACATTTGACTTGATATATCTTATCCTAATAGTTTATTATATAAATTAATTAATTATAAGATAAAAATTAATTATAAGTTTTACTAATTAATTTATTAATAGTTTTACTAATTGGATTATTGGTATTCTTAAATATCTTATGCAAGATATTTTAAAAAGATATTACTTATTTAATGTTACAAAAGATTTTACATAAAATGAACTTTTTAAACCAATTCGTATCTCAAATTAAAAGAATATACGTACACATATATAAAAGTTTTCTCTTTATTAAAATTTAATGTCCCATGGCATTGATATGTCTCGACCGGGTCGAATTGGTTGAGACGCCCGCCTAGAGTGAAGGGAGGTCTAGGTTCAAACCCTAGCAGAGGTAATATTTTTCGCAGTAAATTTTCTGAATTATTAAAATTGCCAGATACGGTCAATAAAAATCACTGATATTTAAAAAATGTAAATGAAATGTACAGCATCTTGTTTAGTAGCTTCATATTTTATAATAATTGTGTAGGTTTTCTTAATAAATCTTAATAAATCAAAGAGGCTGATTTAAGATGCTTTAACTCGGCAAGGAACCATCATTTGCATATTGTTGCAAAATACTGTGATGATAGATCGCATTTTTTAAGCCGATATATCCCGGTGGGAAACACTCGCGGATCTTGTGTAAACGACGGTAGTAGGCGAGTTTCCTGGCGATTCGATATGGCAAGGACGCTATGTTTAATCATTCATCAACCGGTTAGGATGCCTTGTAAGGAGGGACGGCGACGAGGCCACCCTGTTCAGGAACTCTCCTTTCTTTCACAGACTTACGTATCTCGATACGGGATATCGGCCGTTTACACTAGTGGAAAATGTGTGTCGCAGCGAAGAACGAAAATGGCGCATGTCTGTCTTCACAGATTATCTAATTACCTAATAAGCTACTCTAACTACATGTCTTGACTCTCTAACTCGAGAGATCTGCGTGATTGTCTGTAACGGATGCAGTGTGGCGATGCATTACGAAATTATTGACTTTTGCTCTAGGGAATATTCCCACAATGACTAAGAAAGGATGTGGATTGCGGTAGATGATAAAGACGATAATACGATAGTTTATTTTCTTTGTGTGAACTTGTCTAATGTTTACTCTCAAACATGATTTGACTTTTCTATTTTGTCTAATACCATTCGATACTGTTCAATATTTTTAGAATAAATAAATTTTATACGGCATAAAAACGTGCTGACTACTGTGAAGATTATTTAGAATATAATCATCTACACGATGCAAATTCTGAATAAATTTATTAATTGCCAGCGATAATTATGTACTGATCGTACACGTGATATTACGAAAACGATATGGTAGCATGATAGATAAAAGTAGATTTATATTTTTTTAGGCCCAGAGAAGTTTTTACCTCCTTTGATCTACCATCGACAATTAGCCGGATGTCTGGCAGCATTGCAGGCTATCCTCGGTGCCGCGGTGATGTCCTTGTCGTTATGGTTGCTGCTTTGGGCACCACACCTGCCTATCATAGACAATCCGTTCTGGAGCGCCATGCCCGTAAGTGCAATAATTTCATACGGCGGTTAGATACACATCCTTACTATGACGATGCAAGAATAATACAGAATGGCAATCCCCGCTCATCTAACAAGCTTTAATAACGAGTCTGCTAGAATAGATGTACTAATATATGACTGCAATTAGACTTTTATGTAGAGGAAAGTCCTCGATTATGAGATAGGCTCCTAATATTAGATAGCGGAGTTTCTGCTAAATTAATAGGCATCATTTGTTGGTTCCACCATGAATTTATAGTCCTTGGAGTGAAATCTGTTTAGTGGAAAATGAATCGTTAGATCGTGTAATCGTTGCAAAAAAGATTTGCGATTGAATTTGAACGTTGAAAACCTACTAGTTCACATTAGAATCCTACTCATATAATAGAGGATTTTCCTGTATATACTATATACGTATATTGTATATCTTGTGTCCCCCTCAAAACCACATAACTTTTGTCTGAAACATTTTTGTTTGCTGGATTTAGTTTTTGAGATATTTTACTGTCCAAATTAAAATAGGACACCCTGTATATAATAAAATGATATAATATAATTATGCTTGTTAAACAATAAGGATATTAATACTGGTATACGCTAATCGTATATGATATTGGGGCTAATAATAATTTATTGGCGGCTGCATCAGTTTTAACGGTTTTGGGCACTTTTGTAGACGTTTTTTACATAAGTTAACATCATTTAAAAGCTTAAACTTTAACTAACTAAAGGTAAGTATGCAATAACAGTAATATCCTCTCTTTTTAACAATAAGAACAATATTTTTCTATTAATGGAATGTGTTTGTAAGAAATGTGGAATTATATAACTTTTAGTGCGTAAGTATGCTATGCATGTTAACATGTTGTAAATTATAACATTTGTTTACAATATTTTCTTTGTGTTTAATCGTTTAATATATTTTTATCCCGATATCTCCAGCTCTTGATGTCCGGGAGCTTCGGAATTTGCCTCCTATGGTGTTTTAAAAAGAGATATTCAATTTTGACCTCTGGATTTTGTCTTTCTGCTGCAAAGGTAAGAAGAATTCTGACTCATTATAGAGATTTCTTGGAAAAACTTTCAAGGCCGAGCCGCTTATTACTCACATCTTCCAATGATAATTTTTTGCATTAGAGCAGTTCAATATATTTATTATATAATATTATAATATTGTATTACAATAGTACGTATTCATGTATCAACAATTAATTTGAATATTTTTTATTGTAAAAGATATTAACTTAATTTAGATTTTACCTTGACTGATAACATTTATTTTGTCTTACTTTAACTTCTATTATTGACAGAATTATATAAATTATATACGCTTTCTCTTAATGTCTCTTTCACACTTACGCTCTCTTCACGAACAGGTAGTTAGCGTGTTTTTGGCGGTTTTGGCAACCATTGCGTGTATGAGTGCTTGCGTATTCTCCGCGATACACTTGTCACGTCTCATGGGACTGGAATGCACTCCGGCACGAGTATTGAATGCCACGTGTGTGTGCAGACCACGCGGCGAATCACCTGATTCGCTCGAAGGTGCCGTCAGGTATGGCCAAAAAATGACACCACGGATTGACAAATTACAGTATTAATAAAATTCCGTGACATTTTTCAAAACACCTGACAAATTGAGGAAGTTGTCAATGTCTACATGTATTTTTAGGGCAATCTTTATAAAAAGCATTTCAGTTAAATATTTCCACTTATCTAAATTATGTAGCGTAGACAATTTTAATAATGTACCAATGTATATAAAGCGATACTATGTATATTCCACCAGGTACATAGACCTTAATTGTCCCGAAGTAGAAAGTATCCTGACGATCCTCCTCATCTTCTCGTGCACTTGCAACGGATTAGGTGCCTTGGTGGCAGGATGGTATAGTTATCTCCATTGGAGCACGCGATACCAAAGGCCAAAGTATACGAAAGTCAGAACAAATACCATTTCTATGAACAATAAATTCAGCAATAGACCAATCTACAAATTGAACCTGGAGGAACGATGACGCTTGCAGGTGTTATAATAATTAATGATGTTAAAACGCTTTCATTTTGCCGTGATCCATCAACATCTTCCATATGATACGTTGTGATCAATTTATACATACATATTCATAAAGAAATACGAACTACTGCAAATAAATTCAGGAACTATTTGTTACACATTTACATTGTCTATACACTGATGCACAAAAAAATTAATAAGTAACCTTTACGAAGATATGAGCAGAAAAACTTTGTTCAACAAGCTACAATTGTCATTTTAGTATTAATAATTTTACAATTTTATGAATAAACGAGGATTATATAAGTGTATATTTATTATTAATAATTAATGATATAATGATATTGCGTATAACATTATATCATTAATAATTAATAATATAATAATATTGTAATGATCATATCATTAAAATACGATATTTATATGTATGTATGGACTATAGCAATGAGTTGGTATTTTATGGCTTGTTAATTAACGCTCACTTTTTTATTATGTGGAGGCTCAGTAATTGTGTAAACGTAATGTGTGTATTTATGTGTGCATGTGTCTGACAGTGCGTCTTATGCAAAAGAAATTTGAAGAAACGAACGAAGACTATAAACAAATTTACTTATATTATAGGATTAAGATTTATAAATAAATCTAAAATACCTCAAGAGACTACTGAAATAATGTAATATTTAAAAAACTGTGTGCGTTTATCTATCTTTTGTACGTCATGTTGGATCTATTTAGTCAAATTATTGATCAAAAGTTGTTATGAATTAATGGAACATAACCTGTGACAAGTAAATTTGGTATTAAATTATACACAATGTTATTTTTACTTACTGCAACATCTGATCCTATAATCACTTAAATTATTGAAATAAAGTTTTAAAACATTTTATGACAGCGATGTAAAGGAATAATATGAAAGAAAAAGAATATCAGAAATATATGTGACATTCTATTTGTTTTAATTCTATTTATTTTTATCATTAATGTTCTTTACTACAATATTATAATTAAACTTGTAATTTTATTTCATACAATTATATTCGTAAAAATTACCCTAATATATTTTGTGCACATTGCCATTTTAATAAATATTGCCATTTTAATAAAAATGTTAATAAAAATTTTAAACTTGCGTCATTTATATAAAATTTATAAAAATCATAAGAAACATTAAAGGATTCATTATCTCAAGATAATAACATAAATTTACCTCTTAATAAACGATGAAAGACTGTCTCTATTTCCCTCTTAATTGCACGCCGACTATCAATAACTATCATCGTTCTTTATTCGATATCTGATTAGGGATTTCCTTCGCGATTTAATCATGATTTTTCCCTTTCTCTAATTAAGTCCAGTTACAAATTGATGTTACCCACAAAGTACTTCACATGCTTGTGGTATGTCCACTTTGATTTTATGTCTTGATCAATGATTAATATTTTTGGGGACTGCAAGTAGGGCCACTCGATACAGGCTTTACTTACGAGTATGGTTCAATTTCTTTGAAGTTCCTTGCTTTTGATCGTTCACATACCACAACACCAGTTCATCTACTTTCAATTCTTGTTCGCGACTCTTAATCATATAATTGTAGTTATTCTGTTTTAAAAAATTATAAATACATTAAAAGTTATTTGAAATAATTGCGATTGGATATTTAGTAATAACATTTATCTTAATTGTCTGATACTGACAGCTACGAACGACTCGATATTCATCGTGATTATGTACGCGCTAGTAAATTCGATGGGAGTCATCGCGCGTGTCATCATTACTAACAATAAGAGATCTTTCTTATTGCTATTACTAAGCGCTGACCATTCTATGTGATAAATACTATTCATCAATTGAAGGCTCTAAAATTATATTTTTGTATAATATAATATAATGTATATATAATTGTATATTTTGTTAGAAAAAAAACATATTTATTGTCGGTACAAAAGTAATTATATCATCAAATTGCGCCAAACTGAAATAGATATTTGTACAAACTAGGTACTCTATTATTTCTTTATTCTAAAATGTTATATCCAAACAATCGAGCATAAAATTTTTTCGAAAGAAATAAAGGAAATAATATTAATGAGCCAAATTTGTAATACTTATTCAATAAAAAGATAATAGCCTACCTCATAATACGGGTGTCTCTCCTCTACGTATTGACGTACACGCACGCACGTACGCAAACACACATACGAGTACACACTCGTGCGCGCACGCGCACGCGCACGTACGCATAATTTACAAATATGCAAACGTATGTTTTCTAAATTTAATCAATATTCAATTAATAATTGCAGATAAAATTTTAAAAAAATTTTTAGTTTCTTGTCATTTAAGTCTTTACTAGGTTTTAAACAAAAAATAGCAGGAATTTAAATAAATCATAATTATTGACATTATAGTTCACCAATAATACTATTTTACTATTTTGAATAGATAGTAGACGAAGCAATCATAGTTCATTAACTGTTCATAGACAGTTTCTATTTTATTTAATTGTTTTAATTTTATAATAGGTATACCTACATATCTTTTATTTTATATACGTATACATGTAATTAATATTATTATATTTGTTCAGGTAATACAAAATTATTTCTTAATATTAATCACTCTTTTGTTTCGATGTATAAGTTTTCTTATAAAAGTCATAAAATAAATAAAGAAATACAACCAGATTTATTATAAAGAGAATTGCCATTCCTTTTGGCCCGTCGCAATAGGGAAACTGCATTAGAGGAACTATCATGAGAATAAATTGTACCTATAATTTCACAAATAAGTAAAAATATTAGAAACAAATATATTACAAATTTATAATGGATTATGTAGGGCATATTAAAGTAAGTAAAGTACAGGCATATTGAAGAAAAATATGTTTTAGATGAAAAGTAACGATGTCACATAAGTAATTTAATTATATGTATAATAAAATATTGTATTGATACTTGCCATCTGTATCCTAGTTACGTATGGTTTTAAGGGAGATATCATCTGTTGTAGATTCGGACTCCATGCAGCGATAAAATAGTATATGTACATTATTACATGCGCAATACAATTGAGCAGTGAGATATACGAAACTCTTACATCCAGAAAGTATTTCAAACTATACCAAACAAATGTCACATTAGATACATGGTGAAATATGTGCAAACCAGAGACCTGCTTTTGTTTCTTCCTCAACACAAATACGCAAGTTTCGATGTAATCAAAAAGTTTCAACATGAGTCCCCACCACACGTCGTCAATAAACTGAAACATAAATATACACGCACGCGTCTAAAGAATATTTGATTAAAAGGATGTCCGGTGGTTTTAGTACACCTTGTATATTGCAACTTAATAATAATTAGTATATTGTGAAAATATACGTTTGGGTCAAAAGGCAGGAGGGTTTTCAAACTTAATCCACAGTCTGTAATTCTGAATTTTGTCACAGCTGACAACCAACCGGCATCCATATGTCTTTTTATGAACCATAAGTTTGCCAGAATTTGAATTGTGTCATAAATTAATATAAAGGTTCGCAATTTATATGGCGGTCGATTTTTCATGTAGTTAGGACCAGCGTGAAGAATAAAATACAAATATCCCGCAGTTATTAGCAATATTGGAAGCGGCGTATATACGAATACCCACTCACGAGTTTCTGGGCCTGCAAAAATATAATATTTTAAATAGTGTAACCATTTCCTCTCCACGATCTCTCTTCGATAAAACTTTCGTGTATGTTATCCATACTTTCAAGTATACGATATTATAACGGTTGTTGTTTTAGTAATTACAAATATTTCTTCTAACCTAATACTACTTCTATTTTGATAGATTACCACGCTGCATTATATCTAGCGTCATTTTTTTACAAATTCTACCACCATAAATATATCTACTTTTGGTATATTAGTTGAAGGAGCTTACACAAATCCTGGCTCCATTTCATCACAAATTATCAACAACTTTTACAAACTAATACTATACTATCTTTTACAAGACAACAGCTCATAGCAGACTACATATGATACATTACGTGACGTCATTATCAAATCGACCAATCATCGACCGTTTTAAAGTTACGTGAAAATTTTGAAAACTATACATTTATTTTAAAAATGTATGACACTCTTTGTTTAATAATTTTTATTATTTATTGACGTAAAAAGTCTATTTTTGTGTTAAGGTGATGCTGGAGTCTCTCTGTTTTACCGACATTTTTTAATTAGGGATATCTTTTAATTGGCTTTACAGAATTGCAAATTTCTTGTACACGATTAAAGTTCGCACAAAAATAAAAGTCCGTCTGCTCGACTTTATATAAAAAACGAAAAAAAATTAAATATTTTGGCATGTAGAGCTGTCACATGACGATAATATTTGCTTATACAAAAATTCTATAGTTTATATCTGCAAAATGAGGCCGGAGAGACCTAGAGACAACATGCAAGAACAATATTGTGTACTTGGAACTAAGATTAAACGTCTAGAAAAAAAAGATAGGGTTAGAGAAAAATTTATAAATGCAAATACAGCTGTAGAATGATAAATAGAGGACTGCATGATAATAAGATGGCGCTGCAATCTGGTAGACAAGGAAAGATGTATCGTATTATTGCTCTCTCTTTCTTTTTTATGTAATATACATATACGCACACATACATAACTTTCGCGTTGTCGGTAAAACAGACAGACTCCAGCATCCCCTTAATATTTTTTAAATAACATGTACATTTATTTTTAAAAAGCAATTAGACATACTTTGTCATTTGTATTCTTCTCTATTGCAAAAAATGCAATTGATTTATCTAGAACTCGGTACTCGGAAGTTTTTCAAGTTACTGATTACACATATGAGGTCAGAATTAGAACATTCTTAATGGCGGATTCAACATGGCGCCTGAAAATCTGTATTTAAGTTTTGTAATTCTGATACCAGAATCGTAATCAGCGACCCAAAAAACCCTGTACACAATTTCAGAAAAATCAATTAATTTTTGCAATTTTAACTCGCCATCTTGGACACGCTACTTTATTATTATTTTATAGTCACTTTCATTTTTTGAGAACCGTTATCACAATGTTAAAAAAAAACGTAAATATGCAATATTGACATAGGAAATGTTATTTCAACGTAACCGAAACCTCCAAATCAATGTCAAAGTATGTTCATAACAATATTGTCTACAACGTTAAAAACTGCATAGCTGAAAATATTATCATGTTAGTGAATACATTATAAAAACGTTGTAACAATGATTTCTTACTTACTGGGTGTACAATAAGCTATACTAGCGTAAAATTAAAAAGATAGAATTACTTACACGGTTCATCCATAAAATAATTGTATAATTTCTCCAAACCCATTGTATATGTACAAGCAGTTTCAGAAGTAATATATATCAATATTGCTTAATGTTTAATTATAAACTTATTTTATTTTACTTATGATACTTAGACACCAATGATTACTTCCGTAATTTCTGTAACTTCCGTAACTTCGACACGTTAGACCGATTCTGTATGTCATGTATAGAATCAGTGTACTGTATATATATATAACAATGGAGGATGATCTGCGTATTTAGAAATAAATGTAAATGTAGCATAAATTTAAATTCAGCAAAAACGTTCTGTTGATTATTTATTTATTACGTTATGATAATATAAATTGCTAATAAGATACATGATATATGAAGTTTATACGAGTATAACGAGTTGCGTGTGACGTCGCGATGCCAGAAGAGCTTCGAAAAGTCATACTGCATACCAATAATACTTAGCTCCATGCCTAGCTTTTCAAGGAGTGCCAATGCGCATATGATGTGCATTTGTAAATGTACATTTAAATTCGTATTTGTTTTGCATTAAATGCGCATTTAATAAGATTTCTGAATAGTATGTCAGCAAAACAGCTGCGTTTTGACGAATCACCTTGGCAGAATATTTATACAATTAAATTGCTGTCGTGTTACGACGAGTTGCCGCTACGGGACGTCTCATACTCGTAAGTAAAATTCACGCGAGATGAGATAAAAGCAGGTCCAGTAGTAAACGCGTTCCACGCTAAACATGTTTTAAACATTTATTACACGTAACTATGTTGCTGGGCAATTTTACTTCTAAATATCGAAATAATTGTGCACGATTTACCCCCTAAATTGAGATAATTAATTTTTTTACAAATACCATTTAGAAATCTGATTCTTACAAAACCGCTGCGTTTTGACGAATCACCTTAATGCAATCAGTGCGAAATTTCCTCCTTTTGGATGATGCAATTATTACACAATATTTGAGAGATTTTCCTATTGGGAAGAACGTCGCCAGTTTCGTAAACTGCAAATTCTTTATACCACGGTTCCTTTCCAAGGAGCGCCAATGCGCATAGAACGTGCTTTTAATGGGCGTTTTATTGCATTGGCTTCAAAACAACATTAATTGTGTGTTCAAAATGCGTGTATTTAACATGTTTGGGCATATTTGAGATAATTCTCTCTATATTTATACATAATTATGCATGAAAAATTATGCATAGGCGGTTAATGGTACAGTATTTTGGAATGTGCTGCCGCAATATATTGTACATTAAATGCGCATTTAATGCAGGACAAATACGTGCACTAAATGCGAATTTGAATGTACATTTAAAGCACATTATACGCGTATTGGCGATTCTTGGGTTGTATTATCTATTGCTATCTATTTAAACAGCAAACCAATACTTTGTAGGATCGCACAAAATGTTAAAGTACTAGAAAAGACTAAAACTGTTAATTTGTGATAATATATGTAATTACGATGATACATCAAGAAATCACATTTGTAGTAAGTGGTTTATATAAATGTGATTCCTTATTGTATCGTTGTAATTACAGCATATTGTTCTATGTAGTTTTACGTTTTCACATAAGGAAATGTATAAAATAATTTTGAGTTGGTTTTCCTCATAGATCTTGTATATGTACTTGGATACACCGTGTGACTAAAATCAGGGGACCGAGATGACAGAGTGAGAGAGTAATATCTTCTATCTTTTTATCACAATAAGTCTGCTGCATAAGCGCGGGCAATTTATTATATCTTTATTAAGTATTTACGTATGAAAGAAAATGTTGCCATTTTTTCCTCACACACGCCACATAACTTACATTGCATTACCATATTTATTATTTAAATAATAATATAAATGTTACGTATAGGTTATAACACAGGTTATATTAATATGTATATATGTATATATTAATCAGCACACAATGCGCAATTCGTAATGCGCGATTTGTGATGCGTGATTCGCAAAAATTCGTTAGACATTTATAATATTAATTTTAATTACGCAAAAATGTTCCGAGCTTTAGATTTCATACAACCGAACCAACAATATAAATTTTATTTATCTCCCCATCCTTTTGCGGTTTTAAAGCGTTGACATTTGGCCTTTTAAAATATCATGCGGTTTGGCGTTTCATGTACACAAACTCAAAAATCAGTATTGTTCACGATGGCAATAACAGGAGAGCATATTCGATTTTCCATCCATTTCGCGTTTCATCCGAGGAAAAATGCTACTGAAGCCACTTAAATGATTTGTGCTGCATATGGAGAGAACGCTGTACATAAGTAAGTCATGCTACGTGTAAAAACTTTCGCCAAGGAGATTTTAGTCTTGAAAATGAACCACGTGCTGGACGTCCTCAAGAGATTGAAACAGATGAATTGCAAGCATTGCTGGATATACCAGGTCTGCCGGTTAATAATTTTTAATTTTTTTTCATTAAAAACCACGTTTAATTAATTATATTATAAATAGTAATTTAATGCTATATGAGAAATATGGAAAAATATAGAAGAAAGGGGATATCACAAAAATGCATACTACTAACAATGTTATGCAGATTACTACCAATTTTATTTTTAGTACTAATATAAAATTCTTGAAGTACTACCATAGTACTTTAATTTATACAATTTTTATTTCTCCCCTTAAAATGTTGATTAGTTTTTTGAACACCAAAATTTGGTCCATGAAAATTTCCATAAGAATTGTATCAGTATCGTGACAATTATCTAGTCAATACTAATACAATATGGATCCTGTATTAAATATGAATAGTACGTGATTTTATAACTAGTTAAGTAAAAATGACATATTCTGTTTATCTATCACGTTATTATTCTTGCGCTTGACGCAACAAGTTGAAAACCGAGTATGACATCTTAAGTAACTGTAAAAAAATTATACATGAAAAGTTTTTTCAAATAACTGCAACATTTAACAATAATAGCTATCTTAATTGTCCGATACTGACAGCTACAAATGACTCGAGATTCATTGTAACTATATATGCGCTACTAAATTCAATAGGAATTGTTGCACGCTTCATGATTATTATAAGACCTTTCTTGCAGCTATTGCTAAGCGCTGGCCACTTTATATCATAAATCTTACTCGCGAACTGAAGACTCTACAAGATACAAAGAAATATTGCTCATTAGAAAACAAAAATATCATATTTAGCCTACAGTTCTGTTATTACCATGTCATTTTTACTATTAATATTGAATTGTCTGTATTTTTCTTATATATATCAACCTATTTTAGAAAAATATATACTTTCACTTTGACTTCGTTTCCAAACCAGCAATAGATGAAAATTTGTGTCAATATGGCACCTGTATACATTATCAGTGAAATAATGATCACAAAATCCATGGTCATTGCTATTCGATATAAATTCGAGCATATTACCAACATGCTCACCGCAAACTGGAGACCAATTATTTTTGCGAACATATTATTCACTGTATATGCGTATCTGCAATTACATAAAGTAAGTTTAGTTTCATGAGAGCAACTTTTAAAATTATGCACAAATTAGATTGTCATCACGAAATAGAATAATAAATAAACAAATTAAAATACATATATAAAATCTTTTTTTTCCATGAGTAAGGAGGAATTAATCCAAAATTAATTTTAAAGGAAACATAAACAAAAATTAAAATTTTGTATATTAAGTATAAGCCTTAATTATTTTTGTATTATTGAAAGAACGATTATTTAAAAATGGAACTTTATTATACATAATTACATAAGAAACCAACTCAAAGATAAGGTTGTGATGATGAACACAGTCACCCAGCGTTCTTTCATCTTCTGTCATTTTTGACAATCGATGTTCCAAAATTTCAAGCTGACAACAGATGTGTAATAAAAGACCGCATATTACGCTCTCGCAAGCGACGTTTACTATACCGGAGGACGCCATGCCTACCAATTGATAACAGTAAACACAAATATATAAAACAGGATGCGAATAATTGAACGGCATCCATGCCTTGTATGTCAAATTTCCACTTGCATATGCCGTAAAAACAGACATCAAAATCGTTGATATTACTGCCGTTATAACGAGAATCAAGTATCGTAATGTGTTATTCCTGTAAAATGACCATACAAATTATTTTAACTAATTTCATTTACATGAGTTTTGTTCAACTTTATTATTTTATTAATATATAAAATATATTAAATTTTTAATTACAAATACAGAAGACATTTTTTCTTTTATTGCATAGAAAAATATAATTTTGGGGAACATCATTGTATATGTTGTATATAATTTACAAATCGTCATGCAAAATGTATACTATAATTAATATTTTTTGAAAGTTTTTTAAGAATCCATAAGAAATAATTTGATATATCAAACGTATTATTAAAGAATGAATGCAATATTTTTAATGATACTTACTGTACCATTTTCTCAAATTTTTTTTGGATCTCAAATTCGTGTGCATCTACCGCCGCAAAAGGTTTTTCTTTAAAAACGTTGATCATTACCATAATATTTTTGCGATCTACCCACATATAAACTTGTTTATAGCCTGCGACTAATACGGTCAACATCATGTATAAAGAATCGATGAACTCGTCAGAGTTTTCAACGTTCAGCACGATGGTCATAAATTGAGATATCGAAAATGTATATAATGAAGAGACAATAAAAAATGCATATGATTTATAAATTATATGTTGATATAACGATGTCCATAATTTGGGTTGCCAGCATCCAGTCAGTACGCAGACTAGGAGGGTAAATTCCAGCATTTGAGCCTCTTTAATGTAATTTTGTTTAATACTAATTAATATTTTATAAAATATATTTTATAATTATATTATTTGTTACTATTTTATATCAACATTTCTCTTTTACGGATAAAAATCACATCTTTGCTAGCGATCTTTTACAAATGAAGGTTACTAGATTTAATATAATAAAATTAACAATGTTAAAGAATTCATAAAAATAAAAATTCCATTTTTAATCTTATTTAATAAAATTTTGCTTTTTGTTAATTTAAAGTACATTTTATTGATTTTATTACTACACTTTCCGTATAACATTGTTTTTCTGCTTAACTGGAAATATCAAATATTGATGTTTGATATTGAATTTTGATTAAAATGTAATTGAATTCTCATAACAATTCCGTCGAGAAGAATTTATATTTACAAAGATAATTCACTACCTGAATACCTTATAATAGGTTAATTTTTTAAAATCACTTGCTAATATTTTATTCTTTAATAAACTTTTGATAAGTATGTAATATTTATATTATGTTCTCTCTCTCTCTCTCTCTCTCTCTCTCTCTCTCTCTCTCTCTCTCTCTCTCTCTCTCTCTCTCACTCACTCACTCACTCACTCACTCACTCACTCACTCACTCACTCACTTACTCACTCACTCACTCGCTTACGCACACACGCACACACACAAACTTCTGATTACTTTTACGCCATGAATTATAATACTTACGTTTATATCCAACTTTTCACTTTTAAATTAATTTAGGCTCTTTATATAAGTATTACAAGCATTGTCTCAAAGTTCGTCGCATCTCAAATGAAAATGAATAAGCCGATTTTGAAAGAGAAAGAAAGACCAAGAATGTCTATAAACTATCTTGAGACTTTCCGATAATGATACTGTTCATTACATATCCTTCGTATGTATTTTTGTTGTTATTGTAATTCATACACTCAACTTGCGAAATAATATCTCACGAAATAATACCCCACGTAATATCTTCATGAATTGAAATGCGGAAATATTTTGGTATTCATGTCTTATTAGAGAGTTGTACTAGAAAGATGATGTACTATTATATATAGAGAGATAGCGGGATAAGAGGAAAACGGATATATGCAGAAGTAAGTTCTTTGAATTCTTAATAAGTTATTCGACGTTGCAATGTCAACTGTTTGTCACATAATTCAATGCGTACATGCTTTTCGTTGTGCATATGTATGTCAAAATATTACTTCCTATCGTATTATCCGCTATTGTAATATCCAATTTTATCAGATATGTATCTGTGAACGTCAGTTAAGGAATTAGCTGCAGTTTCCCTCTATGAAATCTTAATACCAATAGCATATACACACAGTATTACTCAGTTTTCGTCCTGCCGCCGGTGGGCTAACATGTACATGTATATCCGCACGTGCCATTTCCATATTGATCTTACGTCTATTCTATCTCATATTGTAAACGTAAATTTCGGTAAGAAAAATTTCTTAATCCCGAAGAAAACTCTGTGACATATGCTCACACACACGAATCAAGAATGGAATGCAAATTATATTTTTTTAATATACTTGTGTATAATTTACATACATGTCATGTTAATTATGTTTAGTACATGTTACAACTTAATGGTTGTTTCTAAGATAAAAGTTGATATTTATATAAAGCGTGTTTTTAAAATAGAAAAATACTAACCACATAATACATATAATACATAAAACGTAGGTACATAGTATCTCAAAAAATGTTTTCTTTTAGAATCGTCTCAATAATATTATATTAGGCTAATTAAATAGATTTTATATCTCTTTTTGTGTAGTTCTTTAGCATACACTTTTAAATGTCCTTTTATGTGCTTGACGTACATTTTTAACTTTTTAAAATTGTTTATAAAATTATATTAAAGAATTATAGAAAATTATAGAAATGTTATAATTTGCTGTAATAATTGTGCAATATTGCACTCTTTAACGAAAATAAATAAGGAAAGAAACAAATCATAATTATTAATTTGAGATTTGTCCAAACATATACTATTTATTGATAGTAACACAAACTTCTTTGATAAATATATTTCTTTATAATCCAACTTTCTTGATCTTATATATGTATGATTTTTTAATGATGCTGTACATTTAGTCCAATACAGAATGTTTAGTCAAGGTATCAAATAATAAACCAGAATATTTAAATAAAAAGTAAATAGTTTTAATGTAAATCTTTGTAATTTAATACTATATTAGAAATATGGAAAAATATAGAAGAAAGGAGATATCACAAAAATGCATACTGCTAACAATGTTATGCAGATTACTACCAATTTTATTTTGAGTACTAATATAAAATTCTTGAAGTACTACCATGGTACTTTAATTTATACAATTTTTATTTCTCTCCTTATAATGTTGATTAGTTTTTCGAACACCAAAATTTGGTCCATGAAAATTTCCATAAGAATTATATCAGTATCGTGACAATTATCTAGTCAATACTAATAAAATATGGATCCTGTATTAAATATGAGTAGTACGTGATTTCATAACTAGTTAAGTAAAAATGATATATTCTGTTTATCTATCACGTTATTAATCTTGCGCTTGACGCAACAAGTTGAAAACCGAGTATGACATCTTAAGTAACTGTAAAAAATTATAGATGAAAAGTTTTTTCAAATAACTGCAACACTTAACAATAATAGCTATCTTAATTGTCCGATACTGACAGCTACAAATGACTCGAGATTCATTGTAACTATATATGCGCTACTAAATTCAATAGGAATTGTTGCACGCTTCATGATTATTATAAGACCTTTCTTGCAGCTATTGCTAAGCGCTGGCCACTTTATATTATAAATCTTATTTGCAAACTGAAGACTCTACAAGATACAAAAAAATATTGCTCATTAAAAAACAGAAATATCATATTTAGCCTACAGTTCTGTTAATGCCATATATTTTTTACTATTAATATTGAATTGTCTGTATTTTTTGTATGTCAATCTATTTTAGAAAAATATATACTTTTACTTTGACTTCGTTTCCAAACCAACAATAGATGAAAATTTGTGTTAATATGGCACCTGTATATGTCATCAATGAAATAATGACCACAAAATCCATGGTCATTGCTATTCGATATAAATTCGAGCATAATACCAACATGCTCACCGCAAACTGGAGACCAATTATTTTTGCGAACATATTATTCACTATATATGCGTATCTGCAATTTAATAAAGGAAGTTTAGTTTCATGAGAGCGACTCTTAAAATTATACACAAAGTAGATTGTCATTACCAAATAGAATAACAAATAAACAAATTAATATACAGGGTATACAGGGTGCTACGCAAGACTTTGACGTCCGGTCATGGGAAGGTAGAGGGGACTAAGACAAACAGAAAAGTATTGTACTATTTTGCGCTTGGACGAATAGTTATCGAGATACGAAATTTTAAAAATCGCCGTATTAGCCCAACCTACTGGCGAATGTAAGCGCGCAGTGAGAGGGCGGCCTAGCGGCCCCCGCGCGGGGAGACGTGCGAGCGGTCGCGTAAGCGGCGGACGGGCAGCGGCGCGCCTCGCCTCCCTACTCCTCGCCCCGCA